TGAGCATCCGGGTTAGGTAGACCAGCAGAATAGTCATGGCATGCAGAGAGGCGGCTGCCTGTCCTTAGCACTATAGAATCACACCAACACCGGAGAGAGAGGCTCGTCTCGCAGAGTGAAGTCAGAAATGGCTGTGGAGTGAAGAGATACTCTTGGCTCCGAAGCGAAAACATGCCTGATTTGATCCTTAAATACCCACAGCTGATAAGGCACAGGTGAGCGGAGTTACATGCAAATTCTGGAGACCCATGGCATTTCTTTGCCATTGGATCGTTTTATATTGATTGAAGCTGATAGGCTTTCTAAGCGAAAATCCCATTCCCATTCGTCGTCATCCGACGGAACTCGGAGTGACAACAAAAGGGAACCAGGAGTGGATCAAGAGCGGAGTGACAACAGAACGGTAAGAGTGGAAAGAGGAACGTGCTTTTACTCCAGTCCAGGATTTTATTACATCTCCATAAGCAGTGTGAACCTTCCAACCCATTCAAACTAAAATTAAGACGTTTATTACACTATTTGGCGGCCTTAAAAGAATGCAAATCACAGGGTAATTTAAGACATAAGGACCCTGATATTGACGGAAATCCATCGTACTCCCATAACAACGGATAAATTGCATACCTCATATATTAGTAAATATATTGTCTCACATTTTTAAATATATGAAAATTGCTTATGTTATATGCAATATATGTATTAACACCATATAATTCTGTATGTTTTCAAATATACTGTTAAACCATTTATGATAAGATTTAATTTCTTTTCATTAGGGAACCCCAGACAGTTAATATTGTGTAACATCATGATTTTTTTTTATTACTGATTAGTCCAGGAGATTGCATGAATGAAGTGAGTATTACATGTTTCTTTTTTTTTTTAAAACATGATGTTACACAATATTTAACTGTCTGAAAGATTTTAACTATTATGAAAAGAACATATAATTCCATAATTTTTTTAACAAAAGCCACTCGATTTCACTCATAGCCTACAATCAGACATCATTTCAATTTATTTATTTATTGTTTTTCTATATATTTACGTTGAATGTGAGAAGTTATCAAGTGTCATGCCATTTATGAATGGAACTTTATGTAAGCAAACGTCAAGAATTTGTAACCTTTGTCCAATTTCGATGTTTTCACAGCTGCCTGAAAAATATCAACAAAACTGAAAACATCTGCTATTCTTACTTTTCTCAGATATATGAATGATTGAGAGAAAACAAGCTGTTCACAGTCCATTTTGAGAATGAATGTCGATCATAGCTGGTCGTATTGTTGTCGTCTGTGTCTGACGTGATTTAACTTCTTCCCAGTTGTTCCATGAAAACACGGAAAGCTGTGAAGTGATTACTGTAGGTTGTTTCTTCTTTGGGTTGACATAAACATCATAAAAAGGTAAGCAACAGGACAGACCGCTTTTAGTCTCCGCATATTTGTCCAACTGTGCTAGCGCTAAACGCTTTCATCTGAAAAATGTTTACCCTACTTCCGGTCTCGGTCACCATCTTGTGAAATAGGCCTATGAGAAGAAATAAGGTTGATAATGTCATTAAAAAAAATGACAAGTTATAGTGCTGCAGAGATATTAACCTGAATTAGGATGCAATACCAGTTCTCGCCATGGGAGGCGGTATTTGGGCGGGCAACATAACCAACAGCCAAACTGCAATACATACACGAATAACTCGCACGGCTTGTGTACTTGAACCTGATGTCAATCGTGTGGAAAGTACAGACCACTACTATATTTCAGTTCTGGGAAGAGTTCAAAAAAATGATTGGTCGATATTATGCATGAGGAATACATTTTAGTAAGTTATACTGTATCTTTCACAACAGTGTTCGTGTTTTTTTTTTTTACCATTAGCTAGTAGAGATGATCAGTTCACGTGGGCTAGAGATCTGTCGTGTAACATTTACAAGCGCCAAAGCGGTGTTTATTGTTTGAATTGCATAATAAAATTGACAAAATCTGAGAGCTGAGATTTTTTTTATATATCATAACTAACCTGCTCTGTCTAGTCTGTTGGTCTCCGTGTCCTTTTCTGTGCGTGACAAAATTGATGTGTGGCGTGAGAGTGTAAGAAAAGTGTCAATTGCGTGTCTCAAGGTGAATTCGTGAGAGTTGGCAGCTTTGAACGGCGGAGGCTTGGTCAACATCATCGAATGCTGTCTGTCAAATTAATAATAATAAAAATAATAATAATAATAATGTAATATGAACAAAACAAATACCGTAAAACTTCAAATAATAGCTCGGGCTTTTATTTTCCCATATCGTCGAAATGCACCGGCTTGTATTTGAGACAGGCGTCTATTAGACAGGCCTTTATAATTTAGTGTTGAGCAGGGCTGGACTGAAACAAAAAATCGGCCCGGGCCTTTTGGCTGAGACTGGCCCACTACATATGACCATAAACACAACCAAACTTTGCACGCCCTTGAATATAGGAGTAAGTAATAGTTAACAGTAAATTAACTACTAAGTTGAACTATACTCCACAGTCATCCTAAAACAAGATATAAGCTGCATTGGTATAGAAATACTGATTTTCCACTCAGTATTTTGTGAAATATGTGCTGAGTGCACCTCTGTCCCTCTAGGGGTGTTCGGGTGCATGCTCCCCCGTAAGAAAATGTTTTGCTTTTTAATGTAAAAGGGATACTTTTTTTGGAAATAGGCTCATTTTACCACTCCCCCAGAGTTAACCAGTTGGGTTTTACCGTTTTCGAATGTATTCAGCCGATTTTTTGATATTTAGAATAATTTTAGAAAATTATTTAGACAATTTCTGGTCTCATTGACTTCCATAGTATATTTTTTTCCAATGGACCAGAATCTGTCTGGTTACTGATATTCTTCTACATATCAGAAAATCGGCTAAATGGATTTGAAAACGGTGAAACTCAACTGTTTAACTCTGGGGGAGTGGTAAAATGAGCTATAAAAAAAGTGGAGTATCCCTTTAAATTAATCATTCTGGTGCCCTTTGAGAATTCAAAATTAAGAGCTCCAACCCATATTCAGTGTGCAAATTGAACAAAGAAAAACTCAAAACTCTTAGTTGTGATATAGTGTCTGTCTAGCGCCTTGGGTTTAAGAAAAGTGCATTATAAAAAAAAATGAATTATTATTTACAATACACTACTACATAATACTAGTTATACCATTAATCCCATGGTAATAGCCATATGTTGTAAAACAAATGCACTGAAAAACAAAAGCAACTTTCATAATTACTTTTGTACTAATTTCTACACTCTAAAAAATGTTGGGTTGTTTTAACCCAACTTTGGGTCAAATATGGACTAACCCAGCCGTTGGGTTAAATTTTTACATTACATTTTTAACCCAACATTTCGGGTTTGTCCATATTTGACCCAAAATTGGGTTAAAACAACCCAGCATTTTTTAGAGTGTATACTTGAAAGAGATAAGCACTTTTTATTTTGACGGAAACGGCATCGATCTTTTATTTTGGCGAAAAACACGGTTTACCAACTCGTCTTATTAGAATTCAAATAAAATACGTAATCGTCAAATTTGCAGATCATTGGCGGCCTCCAAACCAAATTTTTGTCCCGCCAAAGCCTATTTTAATCAGTGAGTGATCTAGAATAGAATGACTGCTGCGCTTGACAGGACGCATAACGAACAGAGAGAGAGAGAGAGAGAGAGAGAGAGAGAGAGAGAGAGCACTCCGGCCGCACACGCACTCTCACGTCTTCAAACAACACGAGCGCTGTCTTGCTCTCTCTCCTTCACGCATAATAATGAAATCAATTGACACGATAGTAAAAGGTTGGAAGACCGCAGTTTCAAGCCCGGGCTATTATTTGAAGTTTTACGGTTGTCTGTTCTGAAAGTAGCCTAGTTCTGCTTACCACGGTTCTCTGCACTCACTCTTCATCTCTCTTCTTATCCTCCTGACCTCCTCACTATCCTCATCAGACACTTGAAGGGCTTTTGAAGTTTCTTTTTTTTCACGCTATTTCTCTGCACATTCCTTGCGTTTCTTCTCTATCGCTCTGACTATTTTGACAGATACACACTGACATAGCTCGCTCAAATGGGACGCGTTTAAAGATGTTATTAGACCAGCCCAGTGTCAATCAAGAAAATAACCAATGGGCCGCTGATTTACGCGTTTCATGTGCCGGTCTTGTGAAAGAAAAAAAGCCTAGAGTACTCTAATGCATTACACCGGCACAAAGATCCCAGTGCCGCCAATTAACAAAAACTAAATGCAATGGACCGCAGATGTGCGAGTTTTGTAGGCCGTTCAGACAAAAAAAATCAAAGTATGTACCGGCCCACAAAGCACGTCGGCCCACCGGGCAAATGCCCGGTATGCCCGATGGCCAGTCCAGCCCTGGTGTTGAGATGTCGTTTATTGAGTCTCTAATCTCTAAAAATGCTCCACGTGAAACTGCGGTCTTCCAACCTTTTACTATCTTGCCAATTGATTTGATTAATATGCGAGAGGGAGAGAGAGCAAAACAGCACTCGCTCATGTTGTTTGAAGAAGTGAGAGTGCGTGCGCGGCCGGGGCACAACTCACTTTCTGGAGGTATACTGCCCCCATCTGGTATGGATTATGGAGTATGATTTGATTTTTTTTTTTTTTTTTTACACAAGGCACCTTTAAAACAGGATGAAGTTAAACTTAAAGGGTTAGTTCACCCAAAAATGAAAATTATGTCATTAATGACTCACCCTAAATCCGATCTTAAACTATGTTCCGAAGATGAACGGAGGTCTTACGGGCTTCGAACGACATGAGGGTGAGTCATTAATGACATAATTTTCATTTTTGGGTGAACTAACCCTTTAATAAATGTAATATATTACGACTGGCAAATTGTTGTTGCTTCAAGCTTAAATCTCACTAAATTTTGGCATAAAAATGCCAGTTGGCTAAGAATAGATTATTTTAAAATGATTACCATTTTATACCATTTCTGTTGTACAAAGCATCTTTAACTCACCATGGGTCCAGGTGGTCCATGTGGACCAGGTGCTCCAGGGGGACCAATAATCTGTTAATGCGAGCAAGATCAAAAATTCCATAAGTGAAATATACACCGAAGTCATGAGGGACAACAGGGCACAAAGATGGAGAAGCTGTTTAAATAATATGACCCTCAATTACACTACAACAGTAAGGCCCAATTTAAGGTAAAGTGATTGGACATCATACGTGTAAATTGATGATAAAACATTTAGGTAACACTTTATATTACGACTCGCAAACAACTGCTCAAGTAAACCGAAATTAAGGTGTACATTTCTGTAATTATAGTGTACCTCCGTGTAAGGGAACAATATGTTAAGTTTTGGGTCCTAAAGGGGTAACCAGATATACAAGCAAATTATTTATAATGTAATTATTTTAAAACTAACAGGTACCTATTCTGTAAATATAATTGGTAACGCTTCCTTTTACAGTCCAGTTACCCATGTAAATACTATGTACTTATTTTAGTAACTACAATTACTGGGTAATAACTAGTACTAACCCTGAACCTACCCCTAAACCTACCCCTGTTCCATGTACTTACCTTATATTAGCCAGTACTTCCTAGGTAAGTACACTGTAAGTACACTGTAAGTACTGTACTGTAAAAGGAAGCGTTACCCATATATTCCAGGCAAAAATTGTACATCTGTTGTATATAAAAGTTTTTTATCATTTCTGGCAAAATATGTTCTTGTGCTTTGTAGTTAGAGGATAATTTTGTGGGTTGTAAATTAAATATACATATTGTAAATTATATATATATATATATATATTTATATATTATATATAGAGTCTGTATGTAAGCACAGTATGATCAAAATTGAATTTATTGGCTTTTCTTAGCCAATTTTTGGCTACTTAACGTTAAGCCAAAAAAAAAAGAAAAAGAGAAGAGGTAGTTTTGTTTGTTTTGTTGTCTTAATAAGAGTACTTTTCTCTGTAATTACTGTGCAAATGTTGTTTCGTATTGTTAAATAGTAAGTGGTGTTTGTTACCCAACTGTGTATTTGCAGGGTAAGTGAAGTAAATAAATTGTCTTTTCTATACAGTATACTCAAACAACAACACATTATCTTCCGCCCCCCCCAACTTCCACTGGGGACTCAAACTTAAAATTGAAGTTGAGGAGTTAGAGTCCCATTGGTCTTGCTGCACTGCAGAAATATGAATATATATATACATGCTCTTAGCAAGCTGCAACTTCAATTTTAAGTTTTTGAACAATCCTCCACTCTAAAATATTTTGTGGCACCTTATATTACTGTAGTGACTGTAAATTTGAAGAAAACACATTTTGGTGAAGTTTGAGCCAGATCATAGGGTATTGTGATATTTTATAGTTATTGAAGTAAAAATAGCAGGCTTTTAATTGCTTTTAATTGTATAGCCTACATAATAGCTCATAAAATAATTAGTAAATATGCAAAAAAAGGTTTGTACTCTAAAAATACTTTATTTTTAACAAGAGGAGATACAGAATTTCCAAACGTTTGGCGAGACGAAACATTTCAGCACTCGGACAGTGCCATGAGAGTTTTAAAAGCATTGCCGGTACTTAAAAATGTTTCTCATCTCATCATATCCAGAGGTGCAAAGTCATCATATACAATAAATCCGTGGGGTAGCATTAAAAAAAAAAACATTTAAAATGCAATATTTGGATTTGTTTAAAGCAAAACATTTCATTACTTACCAGGCTACATGTGAAGCTCTTTACGCCTTCTAACGTCTCTTAATCGGTCCACATTTATGTCCAAAAGACTCAATAATAATCTTTTACATTTTAATCCTTTAATTTTTCTTATTATAAAAAGGGTTGTGTGCTGCTGTGCATCCAAGTGTGATAAGCAAATGCGACGCTTAACGTGAAAATGATCATTGCGCCAGGTTGAAACTAGCAAAAGACACTTGTGTATGATAGGGCTGTTACTGTTTATGTGATACACAATACATTATTGGTGTACTTGTGCAACCTTTTTTGATAATCTACTAACTACATTTCTGTATTTGTGATTACAGGTGACAATAGCATCAGTAGGGGAACAGTTTTCTATATGCCAGGGACAACTCTGCAGTCCTGTGCCAAGGACTTGCAGCGATCTGTGGCCTCCTGTCCCCAACTTCAGAAGAAAATTAAGGACATGAAAAAAAGAAAATAAGCTGCTACCTATAAAAAATAAGTTTCGGCATTGATTTTTTTTTTAGTACAATTTGTTTAACTCCTTATACATCCAGAATACCCATTGCACGACTATGGACAAATTTACAAATCAACATAAAATCTTACTGATTTGACCTAAAATTGGAAAAGTATAAATATATCTGGTGTTTTATTTGTTTTATAATATTTCTAAGTATAGATTTTTGTATTCTATAACATTTGGAAAGAAAAAACTATTTTATCAAGGATAGTAACACGAGTTATGTTTGGGGTCAATCTCACAAAAATTATGTTTTCTCCTCCACCATGGCACGGGAAACATCAAAGTTCTCACAAAATTTTTTCCCTTCAATGCACAGGAAAGAATTATTAGTTCTCTTGAGAATTATGTCACATGTCATGTGAACTAGTAGTTCTCGCAATACTACAATATGGTTCTGTTTGGTTAGAGCCCTAAAACAGAGGGACATTTTTTGAAAGTGATATTGAATATGTAAAATTACAACCAACATTATAAATTCAAATTATAACAAGTTATAATGACCTCAATATAACAACCAAAACAAATGTGTGTGAAATTGTAATATTTCTTCTGTTTTATTATACAACTAAAAGAGCCGGGGGTCAAATTGACCCCAAGGAACACCGATGCTACAAAATTTGTACAGGACTTTGAAAATTTTTTAGCAGGTTAATTTTATGTTTACAGAGTTGTCCCCATTAAATTAGGAAAAGTCATTAAATCTGAAGCAAAAAAAAAAAAAAGTAAAATTATGTTTTTACAGATGTTAAACATTGAATGGGGTCAAATTGACCCCAAGGATAATAGGAGGGTTAAACCAATTGTTTGTTTTCTCTATTCAACTGCTGGTGATTATTGTTATTTATACACTTTGTAGAGTGTGATTTTAAGATTATTTATGCTCTGTTTATAGTTTGTAAAGTGTTAATGTCATTTCAACATTGTGATTGTTTATATTTAAACTTGTTGGTAACACTTTACGGTAAGGGTACATGAATTATCATGAATTCATGTATAAATTCATGCATGAATTATGCATTAATTCATGCAATAATATCTCATGAATCATCAGGAACCAACACGAGTTCAACGTTTTTCATTCATGACTTCATGGATGAACAACACCTTAATTAAAACATTAACTAATATGAGTACATCATCATGAATTATGATTTATTACACATGATCATGATGTTTTCTTTGTTCAAAGTTATGCCACCTTTAAGAGCACATTGTTCATCAGTGTTTCAAAGGACCTAGTCACCACTTTAGTTGAGGGCCACACACATGATGAAGTCATTGATAAATAATGCTTAGTTAATGATGACTACTGTATTGAACAGACCCCAAAATCCAATCACAGCTCATAGCACACAAATTTTGTTGACATTCAAATACAGTAGTCATCACAGTGGTTTAATTGTGCTACTGTTCTTTTACAAGTACTAATTTAGAAATTTGTTGATAATGCTAATGGTGAAGCTAAGTTTGTCTGTTTCAGCATACTGGTTTAATGTTGTATTTACCCTGTTACTACTCAAAACAAGTGGGTAACAAGCGCCACTTTAATTTACAGTTCGCAGGAGTTAAACTTACCCTGTAACTACACAGAACAAGGGGGTAACAAACACCACTTTAATTTACAGCTCGCATGAGTTACACTTACCCTGTAAATACACAGTTGAAATAGGTAACAAACACTACTTAACAGTACAAAACAACACTATTTGCACAGTAATTACAGAGAAAGGTACTCTTATTTTAAAAAAAAATTATATATATATATATATATATATATATATATACATATTTAAACACATTTAATTTACAACCCACAGATGTCAAAAACTACATTGCACATGAACATATTTTGCCAGAGATGTGATAAAAACTTTTATAAACAACAGACATACAATTTTTGCAAAATATATTAACAGAATAGGTACCTGTTAGTTTTAAATAAAAATAATTTGCTTGTATGTCTGGTTGTACCCCTTTATTACCCAAAACTTAACATATTGTTTGTTCCCTCATACCTACACGGAGGTACACTATTACAGAAACGTACACCGTAATTTTGGTTTACTTACGAAGTTCTTTGCAGGTTGTATATCTGCTTGTTACCCCTTTATTACCCCAAACTTAACATATTGTTCCCTTATACCTTATACCTACGTAATATAAAGTGTTACCTACATTTACTCTCAGTACATGCACTGACACCATGCAAACTATCAGTCTGATAAAGACTAGTCTCAGTTGTCTACAGCTGTCACTGATTGTGAGTTAGACAGAAGACTATGCATGTATACTAAATTTATATTTTGGTTGGACACTATTTTGGCTGTACTTACTGAGGGTCCCTGAGGGCCAGATAGGCCAGCATCTCCTTTGTCTCCTTTCAGACCATTCACACCCTGCGGGCAACATTACGGAGCCATGCGTTTGGAGATATTCAAATCAAATAAACAGTAATACCCTTGATCAGCTCTACCAAACATGGATGTTTTTCCACTAAGAAACGAACATTGTTATTATGTTTTGATTGATACAGTGAAGCTGCTTTGATGCAATCTATATTGTGAAAAGCGCTATATAAATATACTTGACTTGACTATGACTTAACCTACTTAAATAATGTGACAAGCCATTAGGCCTATGTAAGATCATATATTTTACGTTATGATTAATATCACAAGTGTCAACATACTGTATCTCATGCTCAGATCATTTTACCTGTAAGCCAGGAAGACCCATTGATCCCTTTTCTCCAGATATTCCAGTGATACCCATATCACCTTTAGAACCTTTGTGACCCTAACAACATGTGTAGATTATATTAATTGTGATAAATTATTATAAAAAAATTGTGAAATTGTGCTTAGATATGGGTTAGTTGACAGACAATAAAAGCTATACAAAGTAAGAACATTTTGTTGCTCTTACCCTTTCTCCTTCCAGTCCAGGAAGTCCAGGAACACCCTGATCACCCTGTGAAAAGCAATAATATTTTACTGAAATGAACTGCAGTCACATTGTGATCTTTGTCTTTCAAAATGTTGTAGTCACAAGCACATCAATTCTAGACTTTTATGTAAGACCCTTATTTAACTACACATAATGTCTACTTTGTTAATTAATTATGTGGTTACCTTCATTCCCTTTGGTCCAACTGGCCCAGGAGGTCCAGGGGGACCCTAAACCACACACACACACACACACACACAGAAAATAAGAAAATTTCAATTAGCAGTTCTCTAAACTTTTTTGTGTAGCACATAATTAAAAAATACACTTAGAGCACATGTGACACATTTATTACACTTTTTTGTTACATGTGAAACATGACATGTGAGAATGTGGGTGACAATATGTCATTTTTCACTTTCTGTGTTAACATGCATAGGTCATATTAGACTGGTCCAATCAGAGCACTCTGAATACATATAGCTGAGAAAGGTCTGAACCAAAATCACACATACTTTGATCCTTGTTACATAGGAGATAAGTCTTTATCTCAAATCAGATAAAACAAGTGTTAACAAACATTGGCACAGCAAAACACACAATATTCAGTCAATAAGGCACTGGTAAGAGAATTGACAGAATTAGCGAAGAAACATGTATACATGGAAGTGTTGAATTCATGTTAAGCAAAATATAGCACTCATAACAGAGACAAAGCAGAGGTGAATTACCGTAACTGTAATAGTAGTTATCTTCTGTAGGCAGTCAGGAAGAAGGGAAGGTAAAATATAAGATTATGTTATGTACAAGACCAACCTGTTTAATTACCAATACCACTGCTACAGATGTTTATCTATTATGCATTTTTGGGTGTTTATCTAAATTATTGTGAAGTCAATTCAGTGTGAACAGTCAGACAGAATTTTATTCAATTGTATGTAAATCCTAATTTATTTTATGGCATAATTATTATCAGTTACTTGAGCAGAAAATATTAATTAGGCACTTTGGTTTGTGTTGTGAAAGTAGCTGTCCTAATTTACACAGTTTAAAACAGGTTCGAAATATGATTTCCAATAAAAGGTCATAGACATGATTCCACTAACCTGAAGAGCCTCTTGAATGTTTCCATTGTAGTCTATGATTTCAGTTGTACCCGGTTCACCCTTCTCCCCAGGTAGCCCCTGAATAACAATTATATTTGAGTGGGGAAATGTAAATGCCAGAACTGTTTTTACTGATAATAAGAGTGACTTGAGACAATAATTCTCTTGCGACAATATTCTCATTTTGAAGCTTCCTGTACCTCATAATCATAGAAACCGGGACTAGATCAAAGCAAACCAATGTGCTTAATCACATAATTTGCTTGAAATAGGGAACATTTCGGTAACATTTTACTATAAGGTTCATTAGTTGACATTATTTAAAGGGGTCATATAATGGTACATGCATTAGTTAGTATCTTGAGGCCACGAGTTACTATCTTGAGGCCACGAGTTACTATCTTGTGGCCACGAGTTACTATCTTGTGGCCACGAGTTAGTATCTTGAGGCCACGAGTTAGTATCTTGAGGCCACGAGTTACTATCTTGTGGCCACGAGTTACTATCTTGTGGCCACGAGTTAGTATCTTGAGGCCACGAGTTACTATCTTGAGGCCACGAGTTACTATCTTGAGGCCACAAGATAGTTATAATTATTTTTTTTTACCAAAGTGGGACTAGAGGGGCTCCGTATTCCTCCTTCTGTATTGTAGATGTGTCTCACTGATTTCTTACCTGGTATGTGTTACTGTTTTGTTCATTTGCAATAAAAAATAAATAAAAAAATAAAAAAATAAAAAATATTAACACGTGTGGGAAATCATTGTGGTGTCCATGAAGACGTAAAAAAATGTAGGCCTAAATCTAGCGTAAACTTTTACCCAAATTTTTCAAGCTAATTGTAGTAATGACGGATCAGACCTGTTTGCCCAATAGTGGCAGGACACATGTATATAAGGACATCTGACAAATTAGTTTGTCCATCAAGAACCAGAAAAAAAAGAAAAAAATCTCCCATCCCCATACAATGTCACTTCTCTGTCTTTCACTGAGCTGACAAGAACGTTGGTCTCCTTGGCTGTGAACGATCTTGGCGTGTGCCTGGTAAATTCGCCATAATACACTGTAAAAATGAATATGCTTTATCTAATCAAAAAAATTGTGGCAACAGATTACAAGCAATATTATTAATTAAATGTAACAAATTAGAATTGAGTAATAATTAATCAAATTAATTCCTTAAAAGTTAACCATATAAAATGAGTAAAACTTAAAACGACAACCAAAAAATAAAAAAATAAACAAACATAAATTTAAGTCACCATTATGGTGATCGGTGTTTGTTTTAGGTTTGTTTTAAAATGACGGTTTTCTCCTTCAGTGATTCTGCTTGTTAACATCAGGTGTCTTCAATGTTGGCAATATAAAATAAAGAGTTCTTAATTAATCTTTGACGTCTGTCTGTTAGTCAGATATTTTGTTTAATTTTTTGGTGTAAACTTTATTCATTTTAAATGGTTAACTTTTAAGGAATAACTTGATTAATTATTACTCAATTCTAATTTGTTAAATTTAATTAATAATATTGTTTCACAGATCAGAAGGACACAGATAGGCAAGTATGAACAGGATTTATTGAAACAGGTGGTAACTGGTCAATGGCAGGTGAGTAACGTGGATGCGACAACCCAAATGGAGCGTGAACAGTCTGATGGTGAATCTCTTATCTTTGCAGGAGCGGTGGATGGATGAGTCGGCTGGAGAGGGGGAGAACGGAGCCGGACTGGAGACTGGAGCAGACTGGAGCAGACAGGAGCAGACAGGAAGGAGGCTTCTAAACAGGTAAGTGATCTCAGGAATGTATATCGTGAGCAGGGAGTCTGTTGCCGTAGCGGAGACGAGACCAGACAGTGAGTGACTGAATGAGGTGAGTCTATATGGCGTGGGTGATTGGCGAAGGAAGTGATGGCAGGTGATGAGCGGGTGGTGATGATCAGTAGCCAGGGGAACCGGAACGAGTGGGCGGAGTGAAGGTGTCTGGTGCTGACGCCGATGGATCCGTGACAGTACCGCCCCCCCCCCCACGGCCAGCGCCAGCTGGCGGGCGGGACCGACGACGGGGACGACCACGGCCCCTGGGTGCTGGACGATCTGGATGAGCTGAATGGAAGTCCTGGAGTAGAGTGGGATCCAGAATGTCCTCCCGTTGGACCCAGCATCTCTCCTCCACACCAAATCCCTCCCAGTCGACGAGTTATTCCAAGTGGCCGCCCCGTCGTCGGGAGTCAAGGATTTCCTGGACTCGGTAGATGTTGTCGTCCTCTGGATTCGCTGGGGGAGGAGTCACATCCGCAGCACCAGACCCTAGGGAGGAAGGAGTGAGAGGATTAGTATATGGTTTGAGAAGGGATACATGGAAGGTAGGTGCAATGCGGTAGTGAGTGGGAAGTGATAGCCGGTAGGTGACAGGGTTGATCTGCCTCTGTATGGCGAACGGACCTATGTATCTGGGACTCAGCTTACGACAGGGCTGTCGGAGACGGATGTCCCAGGTGGAGAGCCAGACCAATTGTCCAGGATGATATTGAGGTGCAGTAGCACGTCGAGTGTCGGCCTGGCTCGTGTCTCCGAACAGCCCGCTGGAGGTGAGTATAGGCTGAGTCCCAGACCCTCTCGCTCGTCTGGAACCAGTGATGGACTGCTGGAACGTCTGATGGTTCTCCGGACCAGGGAAACATCGGTAGTTGGTAGCCGAGTATGCACTGGAAGGGGGTGAGTCCGGTGGTGGTTTGACGGAGAGAGTTTTGTGCATACTCGGCCCACGGAAGATAACGACTCCAGCAGTCCTGGTGGTCGTGGCAGTATTACCGCAGATATCTCCCGATTTCCTGGATCTTCCGCTCAGTCTGGCCGTTAGACTGGGGGTGGTACCCTGACGTCAGGCTGACGGTAACACTCAGGAGGTTAAAGAAGGCTTTCCATACCCGGGAGATGAACTGTGGACCACGGTCGGAGATAATATCCTCAGGGATTCCGAAATTCCGGAAGATGTGCTGAAACAAGGCTTCGGCGGTCTCAAAGGCTGTGGGCAGACCGGGGAGTGGGATCAGTTTGCATGCCTTAGAGAAACGATCGACCACTACAAGAATGCAGGTGTGGTTGTCCGAAATGGGAAGGTCGGTGACGAAGTCCACCCAAAGATGGGACCAGGGTCGAGTGGGTATGGTTAGAGAGACCAGCTTGCCTTCAGGGAGGTGACGAGGAACCTTGGCCATCGCGCAGACTGAGCATCCCTTGACATACCGGGAGATATCCTGGGCCATACCCGGCCACCAATATCGTTGTTGGACGAGCGAGAGAGTTGATTGGCTGCCTGGGTGTCCAGAGCCCGGGGAGGTGTGCACTGAGTCCATGAGGGATAGGCGTAGGCGGGTCGAGACATAAACCCATCCCTCAGGACCTCCCGGTGGAGCAGGTTTGAGCTGGGTGGCTTCGGCGATGTGGTCGTCAATACTCCATTGAATGGGGCTAACGACCACGGCTGGAGGGAGGATGGTCTCGGGGTTTGAAGGAGAAGAATTAGGCTGGAACTGTCGAGATAGTGCATCTGCTTTCACATTCTTGTGTCCAGGGCGGTAGATGACGGAAAAGTTAAAAAAGGGTGAAGAACAGGGACCAGCGAGCTTGACGGGGGTTGAGTCTTCGAGCCTCTCGAAGATATTCAAGGTTTCACTGATCGGTGATGACGGTAAAAGGATGTTGAGCTCCCTCTAGCCAGTGCCTCCACTCTTCCAAAGCCAGTTTAATAGCAAGTAGCTCCCGGTTGCCGATGTCATAATTCTGCTCCGCCGGGGACAGCTTTTTGGAGTAGAAGGCGCATGGATGGAGTTGTGGTGGATTCCCCTGCCGCTGGGAAAGAACCGCTCCTATCCCGGAGGTAGAGGCATCCACTTCAACGATGAAGGGTAGGGCTGGATCTGGAAGTGAGAGGGTAGGAGCGGAACTAAAGGCCCTCTTCAAATCCTCGAAAGCTCGTGTGGCATCGGTGTTCCAGGACAGAGACTTAGCCCCACTCTTAAGAAGATTTGTGAGAGGTGAACTGATCTGACTGAAGTTCTGGATGAAGCGACGGTAGAAGTTAGCAAACCCGAGAAACCGTTGGAGTTTTTTCCGTGAGGTGGGTTGAGGCCAGTTGGTAACGGCGTCCACCTTCCTCTGGTCCATGGTGATACCTTGAGGAGTGATGATGTAGCCCAGGAACTGGATGGTTTTCTGGTGGAATTCACATTTCTCAAGTTTCAGGTAAAGCTGGTAGTTCCTCAGACGTTGGAGTACGGTTTGTACATGGTGGATGTGGGAAGACAGGTCAGGAGAGTAGATGAGAATATCATCAATGTAAATTATGACAAATTGGTTGAGTAGATCTCGGAATATCTCGTTCATGAATCCTTGGAATACTGCTGGTGAGTTGGACAATCCGAAGGGCATACCAGTTGTTTATCGAAGACATCCTGGAACGCCCGGTAAGGAGTGGGGATTTCCGGCAGAAGTTCGACGGGAGGACTCTCCAAGGTGGTAGCGGTCAGCGGAACCTTCTCAACCGGAGTGGAAGGAAGACAAGTGGGCTTTGTAATGGAAGTCAGACAACGGTGAAAGCATTCTTCGCCCCACTGCAAGATCTCCCCGGTGGACCATTGGATGTGTGGTGAGTGGGTCTCTAACCAGGGGCGTCCTAGGATGATCTCGGCAGTGGAGCCCTCCAGCACGAGAAAGGAAATCGCTTCCTTATGGAGCCAACCGATCTCCAACCCCAGGTCCGGGCTGCGGTGTCCGATCCGACCGCGACCAAGGGGTTTTCCCACTATGGACTGTACTTGAAGTGTGCGGGGGATGGTTCGTTGCCTGGTTTGGAGCCGATGAAGAGTGGATAGGGAAATGAAATTACCTGCTGATCCAGAATCGATCAGCGCCTGGACTGGAATGGAACGGTTCAAATAAGTGATAATGGCAGATGTATATTTCAGGGTTGAGATAGGAAGTGGTAGCTGAACTGTACTCACAGCGGGTCATGGTGGACAAATGGGACATGTAGATAACATGTGTCCTGCAGCTCCACAATACAGACACAGGCCATTGGT